AAACTTAAATAATCTGGTCAAATATACGATGGCAAAAATGTAAATAAGTAATGTTTGTGATCAAACTTATACCATTAAGGACAATTCTGTCATTTTCTTTCCCACCCACATGAGGGTCCCACAACAAACAAGTCGCCCATTATCATTTAATCTCTTGTACCCACCCACCAACATTCAGAATGCCAGCACAGGAGATCGGAGCGAGTCATCTTCTTCATTTGGCCGTCGCCCACCAACCGCCAACCGCCAACCGCCGTCACTTCATCGTCGACCGTCGTCCTCCCATAACCCCTCCGTCAGATGTACTTCGAACCCGCCGTCAGATGTCCGCCAATCACCGTCGCCGTCCACCAATCGCGCACCCTTCTCCGTACTCAGCCACGGCTCCGCCGTCCACCAAATCAGCCGTGACTTTCATCTCCTTCGTCGCGTCGCCTATCCATCGCCGTCCCCTCTGTTTTTCTTTTTTCCCAAAATGCCTCTGAAATCGGGTTCTTCTTTCTGCAATTGTACCCTTGATGTGTGGAATTCGTCTGGTGCGTGAAATTGGGGCTCACAAAGGTCGTCACGTCGACGTCGAAGCGGCTCTTAGACGACGGTGACGGCGCTGCCGACCTCAGCGTTCGGGGTCGCCGGAAAATGTTGAATAATTTTAAGGGTTTAGTTTTGAGAATTTGATTTGATACAGGGACTTGATTGCAATTATACAAATTTTAATATATTACAATTCATGCCAATATTTAATTAATGAAAAAGTACTTTATTATTTGATATTTGTACTTAATATCTATAATATAATTGATGTGTATAATATAAATGTAATTAATGTGTAATTAATCAAATAATGATATTATTTTTATAGTAAAATTATTGTGCAGACACAAAGTAATTTTTATAATAAATATTTTATTTATGATTTTATATTATTTTTTGTTGAAAAAATTCTAGTTCGGATAGTCGTACTAAAGTGCAATGTGCGGTCTTGTAAAGTGCAACATATTTTTTTATAAAGTGCAACGTAATGATGTATAAAGTAAATTATTGTAATTTCGATGCGCGATCATACTTGTGTTTTGTGTGGATAAATATGTA